AAATAAATAAATATATATATTTTTTAAAGCCGGTGTGATGGAGGTCCGGCAGCAGTTGTAGTTTCCTCCATCATCATGGAGGAAAACCTGGGGTCAGTAGTGGACCATGCACCTCACAGGCAGCCATCACCCTGCTGTCAGCTGAAGCCTGTGTGTCGCTGTCGTGGAACCTCCAGACCAAGATGGATTAGAAATAAAAGCCGGCAGTCGATTTCTGAAAGTAAACCCCTGAAAACCTTGTCGCTTTCAGCAGACTGACTCGTGGAAACGACGCAGGACATGCTTTCTGTCGTGCGTGTGGCCAGCTTGGCTGGGCCTTCCCGTCTCTCACTCAGCACCTTGGCTCACACAGCCTGTTGGGGCCCTGGATTCTCAGTCTGGAGTGGGGAGGCGTACCATTCTTATGACCCACCACCCTTGAGCCTCTGTGACCTTCCTCCTGGCTTTGCCCCAGCTCCAGGCCTTCCCTTCAGGCCGTGCCCTTCTAGAGCCTTTTCCTGCCCTCCATAAGGTGCTTTCTGAGTGCAGTTGTGGGCCAGGAGCATGGCCAGGAAGGATCTGACCTCTTTGGCCAGGCACAGAGACAGGTGGAATGAAACATGAGCCAGGAAACACGATCTGGGCCGGGAGGGAGCGGCTCGGTTTCAGGCCTCGTGGCAGCGGGCATGACCATACGGCTTTATATAGCTCTGTGGGCCTATATAAGGAGCCAGTGCCCGATGCACGGCAGCACCAGGTGGCTGTGCTGGGCGCTCTGCATCAGAGTAGCCTGCAGCATCTCTCCTCTGGGTGGGAGCTCTCCTCATCCCTGAACCAAGAGGATCCCCCACGGGGCAGCTACACCTTAGAATGCCCAGCAGAACCGTCCGCTATGCCCGATACAGCCCACAGCAGCGGCGCCGTCGGATGTTGGCTGACCGCAGTGTGCGCTTTCCAAACGACGTTCTGTTCTTGGACCACATTCGCCAAGGTGACCTGGTGCAGGTGGGACGCTTCATTCGGGCCCGGAAGGTCACCCTAGACACCATCCATCCCTCAGGTGAGTGCTGGCAGGTGCTGGTGGAGGTCCTAGGGGCAGCAGGGGGGCTGGCCCTCGAGCCTCCATGACTCCTTTTGCTGCCCTCAGGCCTGGCCGCCCTACACGAGGCTGTGCTCTCTGGAAACCTGGAGTGTGTAAAGTTGCTCATCAGATACGGGGCTGATATCCACCAGCGTGATGAAACAGGCTGGACAGCTCTGCACATCGCCTGCAGTGATGGGTACCCGGACATCGCCAGGTGAGAGTACTCCCTCAAAACCCCCCCCCCCACAGCCCCACAGGAACCCCTCAGATTCCTGGAAGCCAGTCCGGGTCGTCTGGAAAAACCGGCCTCAGGTTTCAAGAGGCTCAGCTTTCCCCCTGCCGCCTCTCCTTGCTGCCCCTCCAGGGAAAAGGCAAGCCCCAGCCCCAGGCCCTGAGCATCGCCCAGGCCGCGCGTCTCATCCCGTCTCGCTGTGCACCCAGGTATCTCATCTCCCTGGGGGCGGACAGAGACGCGGCCAACGACGACGGCGACCTGCCCTGTGACCTCATCGATCCCGACTTCAAGGACCTGGTGGAGCTCTTTAAAGGCACCAGCATGGACTGAGCTGTCCCCGGCTCCGGACTGCCCTCTCCGGGGAAGCCGGGCGCCGACCAGCCCCGGGTGCCGGCCATGCCCTTCCCCGCAGCGCCCCGCTCCACCCCCCTGCCCCTCTCTGGCCTGGCTTTTTCTCCAGGAGACTTTTTTATTGTGACACTTTTTACTTTTTCAATAAATGTCGTTCCCGAGCTCGCGGTCGCGGCTTCCCTTCCTGGCGGCCTGCCCGTCCTGGCCCGAGCGCTGGCCGAGCCTGGTGTCCACTGGACCCGCGCCGGCTCGGGTTCCCGGGGACTCCCGTCCCCCGCCGGCGCCGCCAGCCCGCGACCGGAAGCGCGCCGGAAGTCACGTGCCCGCGGCGCCAGCG